ATTTGTTGGTTTTCATCTGCCTGCAAGTCTTCCAGTTTGTGTGTCATTAAACATCACTCATCCATACGCGAAATCCAGATCTTCCAGAGACTAATTATCGGTCAGTGCGGCGTATTCCTGCTGTCTCTCTCCTAGTGCGCAGTCTGACAATTAACTCAGTCCACCACAGTTAAGAATATCATTAGTGATAATACGAAGCGAGCCTTGTCACACCCTTGTCTTCACTTCAAACACCCTGCTGCTCTGGATCATCCGACACGTGTCATGTTCAAATAGCTGTTGAACGAAATTCCATATTAGTTTGTTTATTAGGTATATCACACAGTGAAACAGTATTATTTACTGGGTGACGTTTCGAACAAAATTTATTGTTCATAATCATATCAATTGTGATCACACGACTTTGACACTTGAGTTTTATAGTTTTCTTTGTTCTCTCCTATTCGTCGTATGGGTAGTAGAATTTTCCAAATATCGGGGACAGGTGATGAATCATTCCTATTACATGTATTTGTAGTTGATTCGATAAACAAAGCTTCTGTTATCAATCTCTCCCTATACCCTGTGACATTAGATTTTAAAACTGTCATCCTATCTCATCCTATTGTATGGTTGTGTGTAACTGCATGCGGTGAGTGCTATAGCTGAACTATTCTCTAGATTTCTTATCTTATTCGGGTCAACCAATCTAGATTTTGCTAAGTTTTTATGTTCAGCTAGTCTGACTGCCCCTGTTCTACTAGTTTGACCTATGTATTTGACCTGACAATCATTCCAGCAGGGTATTAGATAAACTAAATTGTTTTGTTTTAAAGGCTCTACAGGATCCTTTAACCGACAAAGCTTGTTTCTAATTGAGTTTGTGGGTTTGAATGCCGTTTTTATTCCTGCCTTGTTAAGAATTCTGCGTAAGGCTTCCGAGGTTCCTTCCTTGTATGGAATTACTACTGATGATTTAGATTCTTTATTGTTGGTGTCGTCATTAATATTATTATTATTATCACTATCATTATTATTGTTATTATCACTATCACTACTATCATTATTAATTTTATTGTTACTTTTCTTTACATATTTCCTGACTAATTTATCCGGGTAATTATTAAGTTTTAAGGCTTCTTTTATGTGTGTTAGTTCCTGTTTTAGATTTTCTTTGGTACTACTTAATTTTTTTGCTCTGTCATTTAAACATTTCACCAATCCTATTTTTACTGACATAGGATGGGATGATCGGAAGTCCAAATATCTGTTGGAGTGTGTGGGTTTCCTGTAAACACTAGTGTTTACCTTCCCATCTTCTTTCCTCTTTACGTTACAATCTAACATTGGGAGCTCCCCTTCCTGATTTTCCAATTCATAAGTGAATTGAATTGCTTCAACCTTAGAGTTGATATGTTCGAAAAATCTATCTACATCTTGTGTTCTAAGTACAGTGAATGTGTCGTCTACGTACCTCCACCATACTTTTGGGGTGGGGGTGAACGTTTTAATCGCTATGCTTTCCCACTTATCCATGAATATATCTGCTACCACTGGGGATATTGGTGATCCCATAGCAACTCCCTCAGTTTGTTTGTATATTTTCCCTTGGAATTTAAATACTGTGGAAGTCAGGCATAGCTGTACTCCCAGCATTATGTCCTCAAGTGGCACTTTTGTCCTAAGTTCGAGTTCTTGGTCAGAAATCAGTTCGTTTCTGACTGCCTCTATAGCCATATTTATTGGTATACGTGTGTATAAACTGACTATGTCAAAACTAACCATTTTTTCTTCATTATCTAATTTTAAATTATCTAATCTACGTTTGAGTTCATAAGAATTAGTTAGTCTAGATTTCGAGTGGAATTTTAGGGGATTTAATACCATGGCTAAATATTTAGATAATTCATAAGTAGGTGAATTTCTAAAATCAACTATAGGCCTAATAGGGTATCCTGACTTATGAACTTTAACAACACCATACATCCTACTGGGGTTATTAGTTTTGGGCATTAAGTTAAACCACTTAGACTCACCTAGAAACGGCTTCATTCGGCGTATAAGATCCGCTGTGGATTTCTTAACTTTATTCATAACTGTATCAATTGGTTTATTAATTTCCTCATATGGTCCTGTTTGTATGTGAGTGTTTACCTTGTCCAAGTAGTCTGATTTGTCTAATACTACCGTTGCATTTCCTTTGTCTGACTTTGTGATAACTATATCCTTGTTATTCTTAAGGTGTTTCAGGGCTTCTAACTCTTGTTTTGTCAGGTTTGGCTTTCCACATTTTTGTCGTTTCAATGTTAGTGCACATTGTGCCCGTACTTCATCAGCCGTAGTTTTGTCTACTCCACTTAGTGCTATTTCTATTTTAGGGATGACATCCTCAGGTTTCAGCTTGTCTACTGATACACTGAAATTTAGTCCCTTTTCTAATACACTTATTTCCGTAGGACTTAATATATATGTTGAGAGATTGATAACCCACTTTAATTTATTGATCGCCGTTGACTTTGGATTATTGACTTCATCATTCTGAGATGAAGATTTCTCTTCTAATAATTTGTTGAACTTTTTGATTTGACTATTTTTTGACTTTTTGAAAGTTGCTGATTTTGCATTGCTAGAGGATTGTGTTATAAGATCATAATCTGTACTGGTAACTATTCCTTTTATCTTTTGTTTTAATTGTTCAATTTCAGATCTGATATGTTGCAACTTTTTAACGATTCTGTGGATTTCTTCTTTCAGGCATAATTTTTGTAGGCCTTCTATTCTGCTTCTCACTCTGTCCGTTGGAACTGGAGCTCGTAGACGTAAATATTTAGGAATGATTTCATTTTTTTCGCATCGAATGTTGAAAATACGATGATTTTCATATCTTGCTTCAGTTTGTGAAAGTCGAGTGAGTTTATTGATAAGTCTTCGTACAGGAAGACCATAAGTCATATTAATAGGAGAGAACAAAGAAAACTATAAAACTCAAGTGTCAAAGTCGTGTGATCACAATTGATATGATTATGAACAATAAATTTTGTTCGAAACGTCATCCAGTAAATAATACTGTTTCACTGTGTGATATACCTAATAAACAAACTAATATGGAATTACTTACTACCACAGTGCCCAAGTTTTATACATATATTAAGCTGTTGAACGAGGCTGATAAAGATTTGGGCACTGCATGTCACAGTGCTGACTTAGTCTACTTATTACTTCGCGGTCAACGCTTTCGAGGGCCTTTGAAAATTCTATGAAATTGTGGTAAAGAGAAAGTCGACTACCACCCTATGCTCTGTTCGATGATGATGAGAATAGGTGCGATTTGATCCACACATGATTTGCTTTTTCTGAATCATGCGTGATACGGTGGGTGGAGTTCTGCATCCAGTGCATCTTTTATTCTGTCCAGGATGTCGCGACTTAGTATTTTACTTGGTATAGACCTCAGGATATATGCAGTGAAAATAGAAATTACGGCTGTTTATCGTGTTATATAAATGTTGACTGTCATTTTGATATACCGCGACACTAAAATCATCATCAAATCTAGTGTCCACCAGATATTTCAGTAATATTACGCAACGGAAATGTGAGAATACTAAACTGCTATATAATGCCAATTTCTATCATCACTTGTTCATTTCCTCACCCATCTACACAGATTCTTTTGGGATTCGTGTGTATCAAATACGGGTACAGTTACGTAGAAATACAGGCTTTCAGAAAATCTTTCAAAATAATCACAGCTTCATATTACAAATACAGTCACAATTTGTTAATTTGAGTTTTCTTAAAAAATACGCAATCACTGTTATCTGTGTGGTGGTTAGTCATCAAAAGTGAATGTATACGAAAGAAAAGGCGTCCAGCGTGTGGTGCTATTATCACTGATTTCATTGTCAGACTGAACAATCACACACATGTTAGAAGTCTTCATAGTAAGAAGAAGGGAATATTTCCAGAGATATGTCAGTAAATTTGCAAGTTTTAGATAACACTCACACAATACAAAAATAAAGCATCTATCGTGTAGGAACTAAAATAAAATGTAATATAATTCAAAGTGTTGAGTACTGCTCTATTTTAGTTGAGTGTCATAAGTAGCGGGGAGGACGAAAATAATGCAACTCAAAAACAGCTAAAATTCATGAGTAAGAAAATTGCCTATCAAGTGTTAAGAGAAATTAGGTCAATTGTAGATTCAGTAACCGAATAAATTTGTGATTAATGTTTCCTGACTGTAGAAGGAGAATACATGGATAAAATTAATAAAGTGTATCAATAGGAGAGAAATATGTATTCTAAAAACTAACATGAACAAATGGAAAGAAAAACTTATAACAGCATCGATATTCATTAAAGTCACACCGAATACATCCAACAAGAGTGACTCAGTACAACTACCAACAACTTGGAATATAACTTAAATACAAAAAAAAAACATGAATGAGAAAAAATAATGAACTATATATATGAGTACAAATCATAAATGTGTGAATCAAACAATTCCAACAGTGGTGTGAACACGGGCAGTAATTTTGCTCAAAATATTACCAATAACAAAACTTATCACTGTGTGCAAACTATTGAAATATAATTAATCTTTATTAGATAAATATACCTTTGATGAAGAAACTAACTGTCCTCATTCAACTCCGAAAATGTTATCTTAGCCTAACTAACACCAGGTTACATCTTTCAAGTAAGTTGTACTCTTCATTGTTTGAGAAATACGTGATAATGGGCCTTCATAGCATTTCGGTTAACAGATACGCTAACAGAAATGCTTACGAAAGGTAAAAAATCAAACTGATAACTGTAAATGCAACCAGCAAAACTGTCCAATGAAAGGTGACCACGAATTATCATGACCAGTCCGAAGTCGTTGATTTGCAGCCAATCACCAGTTCCAACAGCAGCGTACTATTGGTGTTAAGTACCAGTTATGTCAGTTTGACTGTTCGTCTATCTAAACCTTAACCAAGGAAACTAAAATTTCACAACAACTGGTTCTTTGAGAAACAACGACTGATCGCATTAGTCAAAACTGTTTACAGGACAAGTTTCGTGTAGATAAAAATTGCATTCATTGTATCAGAGATATTTTCATATTCAAATAGGCGAAAAAAGTCTTTGTAAGCACTTTAGCAAACTGTCATTTAACATTCACTGATAAAAATGAACATCAAGGTGAGGCGAAATGTTTCTTGATAATAAGTGATTAGACGAAACTAGGAAAGTTTTCTGTTGTGCACAGGTTTGCAATGGGTTGTACTGGTCTTAACTGTCCTCCTGTTCACCTATTCGTAACTTTCTTATTGAGTCAAGAATTATTGGAATGTGTAGAGGAAGTGGAAGAATGATCGGTCCATATGACTGGATGTATCTGGGCTTAGTGTAAGTCGTAAATATGAGGTGTCAGCCACTTTGTAGTTTGGCGTTATTTTGTGCATATATTATTTGGGCTGTCATTTTCACACTCCGAATTCCACTAGCAGTGGATATCATATTTGCAGTAATAACGGTGAGTTCTTCACGTTTTGCTATTGTATTTCATGGAATATTTTAGTAATTTATTTGAATGAAGACTTAGTGTCCTTTTTATTGTTATGGAAAATACGTACGAAGAGGTTTCAAATCAAGATGATAGCCTGATTACGCCTACACTTTTCATCATTTTTTGCATTTTAAGTACATAAATCATCTGTCAACATACTAGGGGATTGTCCTTAACAATCGATGAGTGAATTTGTGTTCATATGAAAGCGTGTTGTCGTCTTGTCATTTGAGCGACATTAGTCAACTGAGATTCTAGCAGTGTGAATGTCATTGCTGAAGATTGTTCACACAAGATGAATTGTTTTTGCATACGAATGGAGAAGAGATAGAAAATTTCCTTCCTTCACTCTACATCGAAGCTGGAATATTCCATAGTTGGCATCGACCCATGAAATAGTGGCATATCAGTAAATATCTTCACTGAGCTGACAAATGTTTCATTAGAAATATTTTTTATCGATGCATATTCAATGTAAGAAACAGATGTTAATAATGCAGGACTTGAAGAATTCATCGGGTTTCTAGGGGATTATACAGCTGAATACTCAGCACACAGTGGTATATATAATATAGGAAAAGGTTAAAATAACTTATAATTACATCTCATTGGTTTTCAGAATGATAAGTTCACGTTTTTGGTAGTAATTCAGGCAAAACTACTGCCGTGATCACACCAACTGTTAGAATTGTTCAACTTCAATTCATACATTTGTTACTTGTTATCACACATATATAGTTCATCTTTTGTTCATTGAGATCTGTGTATTCAGGATTATATTCCAGACTGTTGGCACTTGTGCTCAGTCACTCCTCTTAATGCATCCACCATGACAGAAATGAATATAGATTCTGTTATTAGTCTCTCTTTACATTTGTTCATATTGTATTTCAGGACACAAATGCTGTCCTAATTAAGATTGTGGCTTTTGTTCAGGCATGTGCAGCTTTAGATGATTGTTTTTTTTCAAAATTACTGTTAGCTTGTGTCCCTATCGACTGATCTTTAGTTAGGTGTTCATATGCACTCACTCTTATTTTCAGTGATCTAAACATTTGACCCACCGACATTCGGCACCAGCTATTTTGTAAATAACGTTGCTACTTTTATTCGTCAGTTTCACTCGATTTTCAGCTGATTTATTCTATTTTTCATCAGATTTGCTGGTTTAAATGTGGTGCAAATGACAATATTTTTGAATTTTCAACGAATTGCCTCTGATGTGCCATTTTTGTATGGTATTGTGACCGTGATTTACCACCCTCTTTCTTGCTGTTCTCTGCTTTCACTCCCTTATTCTTCTTCTTCTTTATGTTTTCTTTTGGGCAATTGTTATCGAGTAACATCTCCAATAAGACGTTTATTCCTTTTCGTTCATCATCTGGTCTTGTGAGTCCGCTTATTCTGTTTGCAAGACCCTGTCTCAACCTTGCTTTACTGTGAGTGGATGAGCTGAGTGATAATCAAGTAACCTGCAAGAATATGTAGCTCTTCTATATATCATCATTTTTATGCTACCATCTGTTACTCTTTGTACTTGACAGTCTAAACTAGGTAGTTCCACAATTTCATTCTTGACTTCCATAGAGAATTCTATTGAGTTAGTATGACTGTTTATGTGCGAGATGAATTTATCAATAGCATACCTATTCATTATTATTAACGTGTCATCTACATGTATCCATCAACGTTTAATTGAAGACATGAATGGTTTAAGTGCATTCTTTTCCCAAATATCCATAAATACATTGATGAGATGGGTGATTCTATGGCGGCTCCTTCATTTCATTGCCATATCTTTCTATCAAATAGAAAATATTTTAATGTTAGACAGAATTCAACCCTCTTTGGTGCAGATATATATCTAATATCATCACAAACAATGTACACCGTGATGGCGAGCTACCTAGAATGGTGGCCACATTACAACCTGACTGATAGAATTCAGTCTGCACCAAAGAGAGGACTAGACGCATCACACCAGTTACTAGTGTCAAATCAAAATATCCACTACAGCCCTACAGGAGGTCAATCGCGAGCCCGAATAGCTCAGTGGTAACGTCTCTGACTGCAGCACTGGGTGACGCGGGTTCGAATCTCAGAAGGGACATGAGTTCCTTCAAGGTTGCAGATACGCCTTGCTGAAGAGTGCCAACTAGCACGAAACCTAGGTCCAAGGCTTCCTGCCGATTGCCTCCAACCATCTAATATCATCAGAATTCAACCCCTTTTATTACCTCTTCTATGGATAATTGTGTCCTGTATTTTAGGCCGTCCTCTCATCGTTTTCTGTGAACGATAAAAATATAACTGAAAAATATTTGATCTATTCCACAGTATACAAACATTTTACTCACAGTAAGAAAAAGACTGGCAGTCACGTTACTGATCAGTATCACATATCCTAATTCGAATGATTTTTAATGGTATATATATAAATATATATATATATATATACCGAAATTCGATGAATCCATTAAATCTTGCTTACTAAACATCTGTTGCTTGCATATTCATCTCATCAATTGCATTTTCGCCCAATCCTGTGATCCATCATTAGGTTATCTTAATTTACTGTTGATTTATTACGGATTCTCTGAAATCATTCAAGACTTCAGTCGACTACGAAATATGACTTTTTGATAGAAAATTTAGTCGACAGCTGAAATCAACAGCCTTACAGGTACTTAGATACATTTTTCGGAGCAAGGATTTCAGAACCATGCATTTCCCCCAATTACTGTCTACAAGCGTGTAGAAAATCAGTTTTTTCGAGCAGTGTGTTATGTGGCGTTTACTTTGTTAACAACGTCTTCTTCTCATTTCAGAATATCGCGGTGTCGATCATTTGTGGTTTGGAAGCAACTTGTCTTGAATGGAAATTGCGTTTGATTTCACTTGTGTTGGCTACAGTGTTCGCCGTTTTAATATTTCTTCCAGCTATATTCACGAAGTCATTCATACTGTCAAACTTTGCGATCCAAATAATCTGCTCATCATTAATGGGAATAATTTTATTCATTCTTATTATTCTATTATGGATTGGCTTTCATTTTCAGGTATGTGTATTTTTTTGAAAATCATATCATTTCTTCTGAAAAGACGTCTCATATGTGGGAGGAAGTATTGCTCCACTTCATTGACTGCGTGTCAGTTAGGAATACCATTAGTTTATTAGGACCGTGTTGATAATTATTTATCCTCTGTGCAAAAGGTTGCTTATATAGGTCAAAAGTCTGTTAATATTCTTCTGAAAGTTTCATTTTCGAATACTGTCAGAGAAATATTTTTATTCCACATTCATTCAGGTGAATGAAGTTTGTATGTAAATTTCACAAAATGATATTCCGCTGACTGTGTTTCTTTCACGCCTCACGATTTTAAATCAACTAATTTTGCTCTCCTATTTACAGTTACTTTTTCAAGTATTGGCTGGTTGTGCATTGGTGGTTCTGGCGATAGTAAGTTAAATTAACTAAATATGACCGATAATTCTTGTTTACTCATCCACAGTGTTTTGAATCCTGATGTGATTTAAGGCAGTAAAATGTCTATCAATCGATGTAAATAACGTCGATCTTCAAACACATCCATATGATTTTTCATGCAACCGGTTCCCTTTATTAGTTTGAAGAGAGAAAGAACGAACATGTTTGCAGGATAATACGAGCTCGTTTTATTTTGTGGATTCTCATCAACTGCATACATCCTAAACAAAATCAAATTATAGTTTTCAAGAAAGTTGTGGAACACACTTTTTCAGAAATACTTTGAGTTATAGATAGAAGGCATAAGGAACATAATTCCAGAATTTGATGTAGGTAGACAGATTATTCGGTGTCAAAAAACAACTAATTATATATAGTGGAATTGGATAAGAGGGGTAAGAATTCAGATTTCTATTGGAAAACAACACAGATTGGTTAGAGGCATATTACAGGGTCAGGGTCAGAGAACAAAGTAAATTTACACATCTTGTGGTGGAGAGTTTAAGAGGGTGGGGATGAATAGTGAAGTAACATTTATAACTTAAACACACAAACAATTAAGTAGATTTAGAAACTTGAAGGTCAAAATTGAATAGAATGTTACGTAACAAGACAAACACACAGGCATACTGACAGAAAGGCAAAACAAAAATAAAATGAAATAGAGTCAGGGTTACCAAGTTAGTGAAAGATTAATCACACTATCTTTCTGTATACAAAGGTCTGGTCGAAATCTCTTGATAGCAATGGCTTCTGCGAAGCGAAGTAGCCATGGGTTTCTTTGTGTATTGATTATTTTGAACGCTTGGCTGATTTCTACTGTGTGTCCTGTGTCAATTAGATGTCTGGCGATTGCACTTGATGTGAGTGGTTGAGTGTCTTGTCGTCTCGACTAACTACATAAGCCACAATAAAAAACTGTAATTGAGGATGAAATAACTAATAACTTGCAAGGCTATGGACAATATGGTCCTTTCATTCCAGATAACGTACCCATTTTACACTTCACCGGCAAACATAGACAGTTGGGATTAGTTAGCAGTGGGGTAACGTGAGGACTAAGATTAGTGCTATGAGCAGTGATTGCAGTAATGGTTGAATTCCCATGAAGAATGGTGAATTGTTTTATTGTAGAAAAATGATATCTGATTTGTCAAACAAGTACCTCTGCATTTTCTCATTGTAGACTGAAAATTTCGAAACTAATGAGAATATTCAAAATGGTGTATTCTTCAGTGAAATAAATAAAACATGCATCCACAAATGTCGTCTTAGCTGGTAATCCTGCACTAATTGACTGGATGCAAATTAAAAATGTCATATGCTGTAGATGAGTAAGAAATCGATTCAAGTGAATCGACATAACTCAATAACTCACTTCAAATGCAATAATTTTCTGCAGTAAATATTTCATCCTCATTTAGGAAAGATTAATGATTTAGGTAGAGAAAGAAAGACCAGATTTGAGATATAAAATGAAGTCATTCTATTTGACAGGTTCTCATCAAGTGCAGACTACCTGAAATTATAATGCTTATATAGATGATAATAATATACTTGAATGTTTAAGTGGCAGTAGAGAAGAAATACTATAAAATTGACGCATCCAAAATATAAGCATTACACTTCTCAGTTTAAGCTTTCATCATCAATCTATACGCTTTCAAAGTAGAAAAGGGGGAAGGGATAAGACAGAAAACAGGAAAAATTAACAAACAGGGTTAGCTTGCAGGTCCACTCAGCAACTCAGAAAATAAAAGCAGTTCCAGTTTATAAGATTGAGATTTGCTCAGTGAGTCGTGATCATTGAATTAGATGAATAATTAACATAGTCAAAATCATATTCTGTATGCATAAGTCTGGTTTGACTCGTTTGATTTCGTTCGCTTCGACTGTCCTTTGAAGGACTTGGAAATTTCTACGAGATGACCAGTATGAACAATATGTCCGGTAATTGCACTCTGAATTTTGATTTTGATTATGCTAATTATTCATCTAATTCAGTGATCTCAACTCACTGAGCAAATCCCAATCTTATAAACTGTAACAGCTTTTATTTTCTGAGTTGCTATGTGGACCTACAAGCTAACCCTGTTTGTTAATTTTTCCTGGGTTCTGACTTATCCTTTCCCCCCTTTTCTACTTTGTAAGCGTATAAATTGATGATGAAAACTTAAACTGAGAAATGTAATGCTTACATTTTGGATGCGTCAATTTTATAGTATTTCTTCTCTACTGTCACTTAAACATTCAAGTATGTTATTATCATCTAAATAAGCATTATAATTTCAGGTAGTCTGCACTTGATGAGAACCTGTGAAATAGAATGACTTCATTTTATATTGCAAATCTGGTCTTTCTTTCTTTATCGAAATTTATCAAGGGAACCAAATGAAGTAAATGATTTCAAATGGATCGTCAGTGCTTTTCCTTCTTACTTCACTCTGAAAATCATTCGACATAATAAAAATGAGTGGTGTGCACACAAGTATCAGTCGACACACACTATTCCTATCGACATTCCGCTTCAATGACCTGACAAATCTTCTCTTCACCAGAAAGTTTATAGTGTGATGGGCAATCTTGTGCTTCCCTTCATAAGCGAGAATAAGCAAGGTGGGTAGAATGATTGTTCATTAGCATCCTTTAGCATACAAGTGTTTGGTTATTAGTGTTGGCGCCATTTTTAAAAATTAAAGGTGAGTCAAACTGGTTGAATTGCTCAGAGATTCAGTCTGCATAGCAGTACTGAGTTGGATGGGTTCCAATACTTGATGAGATATCCTTTGCATCGTGACTGTAGATATGCACTCTTCATGAATGCATGGTAACACGAAAAGAACGTCCGGGACAAACTGTCAGATGCCTCCAACCGCTTAGACGACGAATTGTGTGTAGTTCCCGTATCACCCACAATTCAAATGTGTCGACTGTCTTTTATATTATAACAATATGAAAATTCTGAAACAGTGCTGACGCGCAACACCATTGTTAATGAAATTCACTAATGCTTCAAAGGAGATTTCTAGAGGTTTCATTGGTAACAGTCTCATTATCAAGACTAACTGCACAACTCGGCCTTCATTTATGCAAACACCACGTCAGAATGTCTGAATACCATGTAATATGCGTCTGTAGGATAAAACATAGAGAAGAGAAACCTTAGTAGATCGACACTTAAGTAACACTGTGGGCGTTCATGTAGTGTAACTCACTTTTTAACTCATTCAATTAACTAGTTCGCGTAATAGATTTCCACTATTCCATTGTGTACTAATTCACTGGCTGCGTTCCAAATTCTTCGTCATTTCAGTTCATCTTTACAATCGTGAAATTTGTATGCTCTGAGAAGACAGACATAACAGGTGGTGGAAGTATTTTGTTTGCAAGTATAGCATTCAGTGTGATAGCGGTATCGTATATTACCATCTTGTATCTGTTTCCCGAACAACTTTACTGTTAGCAATTTTTTGACCCAGAGCCCGATTCATCAACTAAAGAATTCAGGTGTTTCATTGTAAACGGATATTCCACCTTATCAGTATTGTCAGCTACCAGTAAATGTTTGTTCATTGAGCGGTAAAATAAAAGATTTTCTCTAAATGTTTATTCTTTGAAGATAATTTCCACAAAGCATAATAGTCAGCACAGTTAAATTATGGTGATCGAATGGAAATGCACCAACTCACCATAGGACGTCAAACTACCTATTGCATTAGCTCAATAGATTTGGGCAAAAGAACAGAGGAAGAATAAGGCATTGATAATAAAGGAGTAGAATTGTACAGAAATTCTTCTGTGTATCATTTTTATGCAGTTTGCAGCATTTTTCTGAATAAATGGTAGCTTTTTACCCCACTTTACTGCCCTGATCTGATTTGGCACTTGAAGTTATTCAGCGTGGCGAATTCCAAGAAATATACATCGATCAATTTAGTTGCATGCTCATCTACTTGAGTGGGTTTAAATATTGATTTCAAACTGCACACAAAATAAACCAATACGGAAAATCATCTTCAGTAAAGAGTAATGCTTTAAAGGTATATCGTATGAAATTCTCACTTCGTTCACCCCAGTTTCCACTGAAAATACATTAAGGAATGCCGCTGTGGACATGATAGTTTTGTTCTCATTTCACTGTAGTGATGGATCAAACTGTAGACACACTCGAAATTCGTAGTGTCAGATTGAAACGAAATAATGTCATATATGCATAGAGCATATACAAATCATTGTGAAAGTAAAATAATTCGAACAGTGAGTTACCTGAGGGAGGGTTTAGTCCAGCTGACACAAATTTCAATAACATGGTTCGAACATCCATGCAATTTGCACGTCTAAGATGCTTCTTTACAGGCGGTACTCAGATTTGGCCGTTGACGCTTCTTATTACGAGGATGTAATTCTCCTGTAAGTTTCCAAAGCAGCTGATCACCTATTGGAAGTTCTCGAAAGCAACCACAGGACACAAGTAAAGGATGTGTCAACAAAACAAGCCTAATTTTCGGGGTAACGTTGTCGGACACATAAGAATATTTTGAAGGTGATCACCAAATTCGTATCTAACTATC